CCCCAAAACCCCAAAACCCCAAAACCCCAAAACCCCTATGATTTTCATCAGTATTGATGAAAATAAAACTTCATTTTGATGTTGCTTTTCTTCTAGATATGGATGAATTATTGGTCGAAATTCATATTCATACCCATGTTTACTCCTGGAACTCCGACATTAGCTTGCATTTGTACGTTATCTTCTGTTTCTGAGATGCCAACTCCACCTCCCATTCCGACACCGACTCCTGCAGAGACATCAGTGCCGAATCCCATGGAGGGTGGGGGAACATTGCCATGAGTTGTAACGCTTGTGGTTACTCCGTTTTTAGTAGATTCTTGGTGATAAGTAGCATTACCTTCTACTTGCATATCAATATTCATTCCCATTCCTCCCATATTCATATTCATCTGGGCTTGATTTGGATCTGCCATAGTATTACCAGTCACTTCGAAATTCATTGCTGGAGCTGGGGGAGGAATATTCATTTCCACACTAACTGGAGGTGGGGCAGCTAAGTTCATATCCATTTTGACTTCTTCATTATACTGAGCATTCCCTCCGACATTCATTGAAATGTTTCCAGAAATAGGAGCTACTTGCGCTGTAATAGCAGCAGCTGACATCATTTCTCCAGGCCCTGGTAAATTAAATTCAAAAGTATTGAACACTGTTGGAGACCATCCTGCTGGAGCTTGGACTTGCCCGAAACTAGGTAGGGGAGGTGGAGTAATAGTTAATGGAATAGTGCAATGAGGCTCTTGAGCGCAGCATGTACCATAATTACAAAATACGGTCAATGTATACCATAATTTAACTGCATTTCCATGAGAAGAAGGTTGCATTCTTTCAGCAAGATATAAATCATCAGCACTGAGTGGTTTCACGTCATCAAAAGGTCTGGCTTGCTGCCTAATACCAGCTAGGCTGAGCTCTAAGTACCTGGTCATGCCTCCAGTATTGGAGTTTGCAGCGAGGCCATCATATTCTTTAGATTCCAAGACCCTGTTATCTGTAAAAGTTCTCTCATCTTTAGATCTAAGCTCGACATGTTGCTTCAATTCAATAGTGATATTATTGATATCTCTACTGCACTGTGAGTTGTCTACATCTCACATCGCTCTGCAAGTTTCCTCTGGGCAGTATCCATCCTTCTCGAATTGAGTGGTAATTTTGGCGACACCCTTGCTTCAGCAGCAGCAGCAAGCATACACATTCCGTTCATCAGATTGTATAGGAGCCATTAAGCTTTCACTTACAGGTTGACGAATCACTAGAGGTTGTTTAAACTTCATTTTATTTAGCCTTCACTCCCATAGAAGGCTCTAAAACAGCTTTGATCTTATATTTAATATAGGCACTTGCTTTATCAAACCCTCAATAATAAATTGAAGCAGGGAGATTTGATGGTAATGCAAAAGAAAATGGGAATGTATACTGCCCAGGTGGAGCCATCCCTCCAGGGAAATAGTAGACAGGAACTTTGTAGGTGATTACTTTTCTCTCATTCTTATGCCAAACATCAACAAATTCAGTTCTGGTAGTATCTCCCTCCTTAACTTCTTTTGACTCTCTAGTTGTCCATTTACACTTCTCTTTTCCTTCAACTTTAATTTCAAGGTTTGATGCTGGAAATCCCATGGTTAAATTGAGATAAATATTCCCAGTAATCTGTTCTCCGGCTACAAAATAAGCCTTATCAGTCTGCAAATACACATTTCCGTGCTCAAATTTGTACTTCGAGTCAATATTACCCATAATTTTTAAGTATATTTATCTTAAACTCATAACACTCCTCCCAAAAGGGGTTTTGGGGTTTTGGGGTTTTGGGG